TAGAAAAGAATAAATTAATTTGTTATTAACCACCCAACAAATCTTCTTGATAGTGGAAAAAGTTACACGTAAAAATGACATAAATTGTGGGGGATTAATCAGTTAAACCACTGGGATAATACAAGTTTAAGCTCAATTTTACTTCGTAAAATTGAACTTATACCCGTACTACCCAGGGTTTAACTATTAATTAATAAAACTGCATCATGGAGGTAGCTACCACTATTTGTTTTACGTTTGCCTAAACGTCATTTCAATGGACAACTTTTTTTCAATTCTTCCCTTTCTTCAATGTGACAGATTTCTTGGTGAAATTATCACTGTGTCTAATTCATCATCGTCGTCTGATTCATCTGTATTCTCGATATACGAAATAACGGCATTGGTACTCGAAGAGATAAACTTCTAACAATGTTCATGAAAGTTGATTAGAGTTTATAGGTTAATACAGTATAACGGATTCACATGATCTGAAATTAGCAGGTACTAAATCCTGTAAACCTTAACGTTGTAACTGCTGCAAATGCTACAAGTTTGCAACTTCTGCAATTATTGGCAATCTCTGCAAGGTCAACTGCTATTATATATATAAAATAACTTTTTTTACGGGAAAATAAACTTTACCGTATGGATTAGATTTTTATAGTCGTGTGACATGTCATAGAGAGTGAACTATGTATGTATATGAGTGTCCATATGAAATAAACATGATGGATGATCAATAAAGCAACAATTAATGTTATGAAAACCGTTGAAACACGATTATAATCACAATTAGTAATTTCGTTTCAACGGATTTTAAATGAAATTTTCTTATATGTCTAGCCATTCCGTTGAAACAAGGATTATACTGTATTAATAAAAAATTTGTCGAGATGGGATTGGTATAAGGAATTTTATATGCATGTATCCATAGATTCATCGAATTCCGATATATTAAATATATACAGTCCACACTGTCTATAACGGATCATTGGGACCAGGAAATTTGTCCGTTATAGATACTACATTAAGTCATGCGGAATAAAAAAATTTTTATTATTACATAAAAAATATTATTCAATATTAATTAATTAAAAAACAGTAATATAGATTGTTTTGTTGAATTGAATTAATTCTATTTTTTAATTTTCTTTTTGACATTTTTTAACTGTTTCAATTCATCATTTGT